GACCTCCAGACAAATGCAGGTCCTTGGCTGTCCACTTGATCTGTGGTTTGAGTGATTCTCTTTCTCATATTTCATCATCTCAAATGACTATTAATCACTGCTAAGGGGCACATTCTTAAGTCTGGAAGATAAAGTAAAAAATTAGATATATGTCAAAAAAAATCCAGAGAGATTTGAAAAGAGTTGAGTGACCTTTTAAATCCATGAAATCATTTATGTTCTGTGTTCGCTTTTTTCTTTATATAGTTCAGGTCTTATTCAAACCAAAATGTGCCTTGATACCTGAAAGTCCTATTTTATGACTCATTGAGTACTATTAACATTTTAATTAGATTTTTTTCCTTATATTTTATATATCACTAGCATACAGAGTCAACATAAAAATAAATATTCTATAATACAGCAGAACACAGACAAGAATTAAAATAGATTGAGTTCCTGTGATGTAGCAGACACTAAGCTTTACCATATCATTTTGTTAAAGCCCCACATAATCATCTGTGGTTGGTGGAGATAAGAATACTACCAATTACCTATACTAATCTAGAAATCTTTTAATGAAACCTCCAACCGAGACTTCTTTGCCATGTTCCAACATTGTGTATCCAGACATCTACACGGCAAGACTACTTGGCTGCAACATCAAAGTTTATGTGGATATGAGACTGAACTCATTACCTCTTGCCAAGAGCTTGCTCTATCCACAGCCTTTCTCAATTCTGACGTCATGATAGCCACATTAATTCCTTCCAAGGGCAGTGACACAATGACTAAATGACCTCCCACCAAGTCCTGCTTCTTAACAGTGCTGCACTGGAGATTAAGCTTCAACACATGAACCCTGGGGGCAGCCACTCAAACCATGTCCAAACCACAGCAGGTTCTTTCATCTCATCACACTCCACAAAGCAGGCATTTCTGGTACCCTTACCCAATCTCTTTATTATAGCTGTAACATGTATCACCATCAAAATTACTCTACAATTTACTGCTTCACCATGTTTGTTATTTATTTTTTGTTTATTCATCTTAGCTAAAACGTAATGTTCACTGGTATATTCCCCATCCCTAGATAGCGCTTGGCATACAATAGATGCTCAATAAATCTTGGTAGAATTGTGGAATGAATGAATAAATGAATGATTTCATATACTCTTCAGACTTAAAAAGAGATCTATTTGATACGAATCTTTTCCATTTTCTTGCATTTCAAAGCATTGTACTTTATGAAAATACAGGTATTCTATAAAAAGCAATGCCTTCATAGTTTGTATCACTGTTTCTCCATGCTCTTCAGCCAATGGGTATTAAATGGACATTTTATAATAATGTAACCAGTTTATGGAAAGACTCACAAAAATGAACAATGTATGAATAAAATTATAAATTCAGTAGAATAAAATGAAAAATAGATGGTAACTTGTACTCTGCAACATAATAGAAACAAACCAAATTGAGCTGGCATAAACCAGAGGACTATTGTTCAAATAAATAATTTCAAAAATACATATTTTTAATAGAATCTGTCTTAATGGTTTATGAGATCTTGGAAGTTACAGTGAAAAAAAAGTAGGAGCAGGAGGTAAATGAGCCACTTCATCTTCCACGTGCGTCTCTTTCATTCTTCTTTGTCCACAGTTTACCAGTATTTGCTCCCTCTACCTATCAGGAATAAGAGGACCAAGCACCACCCATGACTCTTTAATCTGGACAACACTGCAGTTTCCTATTCTTAGGGAAGAGCCCAGACTGGGTGAAATCTCTCTCCTGGTCCAGTCCGCAATGTCCAGGAAAGAGGACTCAATATACAAACCACTGAGGGGGCACATTTTGATAAGGGGAGAATAGGGAGTGCTGGATAGACCCCCAGAGAAAGGGCTTAGCAGATACCCCAACAGTAAATGGTCCTAGAAATAGTGGAATAGTGGAAAGTACATTACAGCTCAAGTTCAAATTCCTGTTTTTAACCTTTCATCTCTATAAATTCAATGAAGTTACTAATGAGAAAGCTTAGACAAGTCTTCTAACTCCCCAGTAATTACAGTTTACTTATTTTCTTTCTCAGACATAGGGACTAAATATTGGTGATGTCTTCTTTTAGAGATTTATTTATTTTGTAAGCCAGAGTTACAGAGAGAGAGACAGAGACAGAGACAGAGACAGAGAGATCTTCCATCCACTGGCTCATTCCCTAGATGGCCTCCAGGAGCCAGTAGCTTCATCCAGGTCTCCCATGAGAGTGGCTGTGACAGCCAGTGCTGGGTCAGGCCAAAACAAGGAGATAGGAACTTCATCCAGATGTGGGTAGCAGGGCCACAGACACTTGGACCAAATTCTGCTGCTTTTCCCAGACCATTAGCAGGGAACTGGATTGGAAGTGGAGCAGCCAGGACATGAACCAGTGACCATATGGGATGCCAGTATTGCAGGTGATGGCTTTACCCACTACAGTGTAACAGTGGTCCCCATAAGTATTGATGACTTCATGATAGTGAAGAGCAGGGGGAAAAAACAAAAGAGGGACTCTTGGTGGTAAGGAAAAGACAAAAAAATCAAGAGCTATGCACTGTAATCTCAGTTCTACTACAAAAAGTAAATGTGTTGGGAAAGTCAGTTCTCTGGTCTCTGTCCCTTATCTGTGTAATGATAGGATTATACAACAATCAATAGTTTTCTCAACTTTTTTGATGGGGAGAATTAGCTGGGAGTAGTTTTGAAATGAAGATGCTCTTGACTTAGCCACAAACATTCTGATTTAGAAGATTTGGGGAACCACAAGAGCAGATAACATTTAAGACCCTTCCTAATGTTTAAAATACTTGTTTTTCCAATAGTTATCTAACTTGGAAGATACTCCAGTTGTTGGGCTGGCATTGTGGCACAGTGGGTTAAGCTGCTGCTTGCAAAGTTCAATTCCTGGCTGCTGCATTTCCAATCCAGCTTCCTTCTAATGTACCTAGGAAAGCAGCAGAAGATGCTTCAAGTACTTGGGCCCCTGCCACCCCAGTGGGAGACCTGAATGAGGCTCCTGGCCCCTGGCAGCTGGCTATCACTTGGCCCAACACCAGCCATTGCAGCCATTTGTGGAGTGAACTATCAGATAGAAGATCTTTCTGTCTGTCTTTCCCTCTCTCTAACTCTGTCTTTCAAATAAGTAAGTAAATCTTATATATATATATATATGTATGTATATATATTATATATAACACTTTGATTGCAATAAAATTGATTTTACAGCATCTTGTAGTAAACATATTTTTATTTTTTTCAACTCTCATGTTAATGTGTTATTAATACAAAAAGAACAGATTCAATGTAGTTCATAAATAGAAATCTAAGAATATGATGTCTAGATATCTTTTTCAGAAATTGCCTCATTTCCATTTCGCTTCAACAGAAAACTGAGAGAAATATTAAGTATAAAATAGACTCTCGATAAATATTTATGACTGAATAAATGATAGGTTCTATATGTTTTTAAGAATCAACAACTTTTCATTATCTTTTCAAGTACCCTAGTTCTCATATATCAGGAGAAAAAAAATCCTTTTGGAGTTTGTCTGGTTTGCTGGAATATAGAGAAAATAAGATAATAGCATACATACCTATAAACCAGGACTCATAATATTTAAATTGTAACAAAGCTTTTGATAATAAAATCTTATTTGCATCTTGTTAACATGGTTAAATAGTTGTAGGTAAAAGTATAATATCCTCAAAATATCTCCTTAAGTCCCAGATAAGCACATAATGTTGTGTTATTTTGTTCTTGCATTTCACCATCCAAAGCATTCTTAAACATGAGAGCCTGGCCAGTCTCAAAATATTGCCTTAGCAATTTCTGCAGAGAACTGTATTCACTCTGAACTTGTTTAGTACCACATATTCTTTTTAAAAACAAAAGATATAGGTTTCTAAAGGGCTGAACTGTGAGGCAAAGCACCTGGCAGTAGTTCTGCCTTTGCATCTAATAGCTGTTATCAAATTGGTCAAGCTACATTATCTTTTCTGACTTCTAACTTTACTTCTATAAAATGAATCCTACATTTATTTAGGTGCTATCACTTCTAAATAATTAAGAGGCAAACAATACTCAAATACTATAAAATGAATCCTACATTTATTTAGGTGCTATCACTTCTAAATAATTAAGAGGCAAACAATACTCAAATAGGTATTCTTAGTTCTAAATATCACTACATCTCTGCTTAGTACTTAGATATGCAGTTTTCTCTTTACATTTTGATGCTATTTAATATGTTAATTAACTAGTTCCACAAAATTATATTGCTTTAGAAAATAGAAACAGATGTCCATAGATACCTGCACATTCCAACACCAGATCATTTGTGTGAGTGATACCAGGCCTTTACTATGTGACCTTTCAGAAAGGAAAATCATAGCTCAGCATACAGCATGTAGTGTGTGCTGAGACAGTTGCCTCTCTCATAAGTTTGGACACAGTTCAAAGTTTCATTTTGTCACTTTCCTAAGAAAACATTGTTAGTAATTAGGGGTAATGGTTGAGCTTAGGCATCAGCAAGCTCATAATAGCTCACTTGGGAATATTTTGTCATGATTATAATGACCAAAAAGACAACCTGGAAAGAATGCAGTTGCAATGTTGATAAAAGCAAAAAATGTGTAGGAAATGAGCACAACTTGTATATATACTTTGTCTTACAAAATAAGATCATCAATGCTTTGCATTTTGTTGATTTTTAAAAAAATTACAAATGATGGTAGCAATAAATATATAATAGTAAGCCTATTTATTACAATATGTGTTTTTTTTTACTTTTGTTGGTTGATTTATTTTCTGAGAAGCATAAAATCACAAGGTATGATGTCATGTAAGACCACTGCTCTGTCAATTTTCTGTGAAGCTCTCCTTTCACATCACTGCCTGCACTGGCTGCCAGATAAATTCTTGTGAGATCATTCTTAAGTGTCCTTTGTTTTATGCTAGCCATTACATCTAATTTTTCTTTGTATTTCAGAAAAGTTGAACATCACAAACCAAGAGTGACATCAGTTGTTTTTAAAAAGAAACAAAAAAACTACGGTTCGGATCCTTTCCTGCTTTGGAAGAAAGAAAAATGGAACATTAATAATCAAAGGTAAAGCTGTCTACTTTCCCCTTAGAACACATTCTATCGTTTTCTCCTGAGCTAGCCTATGTGAAACAACGCCTGTCTTTTTTAAATAGGGTGGTGTACTTATATTTGAACAAAAATATTTCAGGCCTGTCATTCCAGACACAGCAGCAGGCTGCTGAGTTTAAAGCATGTGTTTTTCCCTCATCACCTATACAGAATCTGGATGGTATGTGTTTTATATGTTTCATCTTCATTGTGAATTGAGAATGGCATAGCAGGCAAATATCATTTTGTGAAACCTCTGAGCCAAAATATTATACATAAAGTTAAGCCTAGAATCGCAGAAGTAGATGACATAGTGTCAGCTTTTATTCTTAGCACATTGTATAAATGTGCATTTATTAGCACAGACATGTTCAACATAACCTCAGTGTGCTAGGAAAGGCAGTGGAAACACTGATTCCATGCTGTGATCTTTTACTCCTTTGATCCCATTATGTGGTTTTTAGAGGCAAATAAGTCTTAAAAACGCATACATCAAATATACTATATAAGTGATGTCATATCAGAAAGGGGTTGGTAGAGCTGAATATTTATTAAGCCACGGTCTTCATTTGGGCTATTTGCCTAAGACAGTGACCTTAGTATGACAGTTTACTGGGAAGCTGGTCTGAAATATCAAGAGGTAGAAGCAGGAAGAATTCATCAGAAGCGCAGGCCCTACTCGGGGTGAGTTAAGTCCACCGCTGTGGGCACAAGAAGCTGGACTTCACAGTGACCTCCAACAAGGGGCACAGGTGCCTCCCAGAATTTCAGCCTAAAGGGTGTACATACAACAAGAGGCCTATCAACTGGCTTGCCCTCCTTGGTTGTGGATTTCCCTCAGATATATGCTCCAGTCTGGGACTATCATGGCACTGCATGGGGCAGGAAGACACTCAGCTGTCCCTTGAGGTGGTCTCCATAAAGACAAGGAGACTCTGAGTGCTCACAGAAAGCCTGTCCCTCTAGCAGAGGCTAAAATCAGAGGAGTGACCTCAGGGACATGAGACAGGAAACCTGCAATATCTGTTACCCTTCTTTTTACTTTATTGCAAATCATACCATCTTCCTGCTAAATGAAGCATCTCTGAGGAGAGAATGTTTTACACTTTAAAGACATTACATAGATTTATATCCAAGTTTCAGCCTCTGGTTCAAAACTTCATCAATAGTCAATGTTCAGGTGTGACAAATGCATCTTTGCCCACAGGGGTATTAGAGAGGTTAAATAATAAGATTTAAGTATGACCAACATTTGGAAAAGTAGAAGCTGAAAAAGTTGATCTTGCAGAAGTATATGGTAAAATAGAGGGCTCTGGAGCTCAGAAGGGGAAAGGGGAGAGGGTAAAAAGTGAAGTTGGGTAACAGGTTCCAGGATATAGTTACTCAGAATAAGTTCTAATATTCCACAACACTTGAGTTCACAACAATTATAGGTTTTACAAAGAACTAGAAGAGAAGAGCTTGAAGGTTTCCAACTCAAAGAAAATGATAAATGTTTAAGGGCATGAAAATAATGACATTAAACATTAAAATAAAGTAGGATAAAGGCTGGATAAATGCTGTGGTCATGGAAGATCATAAGTGCAGAGGAAGAATTATTTGGTGAACTCTCTATGGACCACCTATTAAAAACAAAACAGGCAGGTGCTGCGGCTCACTAGGCTAATCCTCCGCCTTGTGGCGCCAGCACACCGGGTTCTAGTCCCGGTCGGGGTGCCAGATTCTATCCCGGTTGCTCCTCTTCCAGGCCAGCTCTCTGCTGTGGCCAGGGAGTGCAGTGGAGGATGGCCCAAGTGCTTGTGCCCTGCACCCCATGGGAGACCAGGATAAGTACCTGGCTCCTGCCATCGGATCAGCGTGGTGCGCAGGCTGCAGCGCGCCGGCCGTGGCGGCCATTGGAGGGTGAACCAACGGCAAAGGAAGACCTTTCTCTCTGTCTCTCTCTCTCACTGTCCACTCTACCTGTCAAAAAAAAAAAAATAGACAACAACAGACATTTAAACTGCTGCCCATTCATTTGAGGGAAATGAAAATAGAGGGGAAAAGAAGAAAGGACAGTAGAAAAGTGGTGGTGGGGAAACCAGCATGGACATGGTTGAGGGCAAGATTGAAATCCCCCAAGGAGTAGACAGAAAAGAGCTGTGGTATGAAGAGAATCCCATGAGAAGGCAGAGAACTGCTTAGAATAAACCACAAGCGGAGTGAAGAATTGCCCCAGTTCCTGAGGGCTGTGGCCAATCCTTGAGTCACCATAGAAGCCATCATTTCTGCGGCTTCTCACCTGAAAGAAGTAATTGCCTCTCATTGCTTTTCTCCTGCAGTCTCTTTTAAGCTCCCAAGTCTTCATAAATATCAGCTCTAATCATATCTGTTTCTCACTCAGAAAATGTCCTCTGATTTACCATTTACATTATTGTCTGAACTCTTAAATCAGACATGTGAAGCCTGTCACTCTAAGTGGTGCAGCCCGTTGTCTAGAAATGTAAATTCAGTGGTTGACCAAGTCTTCTAAGTGATGTTGAGCCTTTGTGGTGCTCAGGGACAGATTTATCTAGGGTGAGGCCCAAGAGTTTGTATTTCTAACAAGTTCCCAGGCAATGCTGATGTCAGAAATCCAGAGACCTTACTTGGAGATCCACTCTGTGAACCGAATGAGCCAGGCTGGCACTACAAGTTCCACATTGCAGTTTGAGTCAGACTAATTGCAGGGGCAGGCATTAGGCCTAGTAGTTAAAATGCAGATTAGGATGCCTGACTCCCACATTGAAGATCTTAGGTTTAAGTCCAGCCTCTGGCTTCTGACTCCATCTTCCTGATTATGCAAACCCTGAGAGGCAGAGTAATTGTGTCCCTACCACCCACTTGCAAGATCTAGATTAAGTTCCTAGCTCCTAGCTTCAGCCTTTTCCAGCCCTGGATGTTGCAAGCATTTCAGAATTGAACACTCTCCCTCCTTCTCTCTCTGTTTCTAAAAGTAAAATAAACGGGGCAGGTGTTGTGGCATAGCAGGTAAAACCACACCTGCAATGCTGTTATGCCATACGGGCACTGGTCTGCATCCCAGCTGCTCCACTTCAGATCCAGCTCCCTGGTAATGGCCTGGGAAAAGCAGTGGAAGATTACCTATGTGCTCAGGCCCCTGCTAGCCACAAGGAAGACTCAGAAGAAGCTCCTGGCTCCTGGCTTCTGCCTGGCCCAGCCCTGATTGTTGTGACCAAGTGGACCAGCTAATAGAAGATCGCACTCTGTCTCTCTCTCTCTCTCTCTCTCTCTCTCTTGCTCTCTCTCTCTCTGTAACACTGATTTGCAAATAAATAAATAAATCAGCTGGCGCCGCGGCTCAATAGGCTAATCCTCCGCCTGCAGCGCCAGCACACCAGGTTCTAGTCCTGGTCAGGGATCCAGATTCTGTCCCGGTTGCCCCTCTTCCAGGCCAGCTCTCTGCTGTGGCCAGGGAGTGCAGTGGAGGATGGCCCAAGTGCTTGGGCCCTGCACCCCATGGGAGACCAGGAGAAGCACCTGGCTCCCGCCTTCGGATCAGCGCAGTGCGCTGGCTGCAGCGCACCGGCCATGGCGGCCATTGGAGGGTGAACCAACGGCAAAGGAAGACCTTTCTCTCTGTCTCTCTCTCTCTCTCACTATCCACTCTGCCTGTCAAAAAAATGAATAAATAAATAAATAGATAAATCTTAAAAAGATAAAGAAAAAATATTGTTTAAAAAATTGTTTAAAAAGAAAAAGAACAAAAATATTTCAGTCTTATGATCAAATACCATCTTAATACATAAAACTCCTATCAGTAAGTTTTTTGATGCATTTTTATAGCCCTTACTATGTTAGAGTTTCTGGGGACTTGTACATATTTGTTGGATGAAAGGAAGAAATAATAATGAATAGATTTTGCACCTAAGAGTTGGTTTCAGTAAGAAACTTAACTCCTTACAAGAAACTGCTGTGGCATGTGCCTTAGGAAAGAATGATTTCCTGCACATGGAAACCTCTTTATTGTATAAGACCATACTTGATATATAAGGTGTTTATTAGGTAGAACAAGTTTCTGTATTCAAAGCTTGAGCATCTCAGTATAAAGTATCGTGCTCCTCACTAAATAAAGTTTTTCGCAAAATACTTTTGCTGTTTGATTGAGAACAACAGGAAGAAATGTCATTTACATCAAGACAAATTGTACATTTTACTTTATAATAGACCCATTGGGTATGTGAAACCAGGAAACCACATCTATTTAATAAATTCCTCTGCAAATGTCTCTTCCTTTAGTTTAAATTTTGCAGCTGCAGCATAATTTGAATGTTTATTCACATTTAGGACAATTGTGCTTTCTTGCATTCAATGTGTTCATATATCAATGTTGCCCACTTTTTCTTTGCATCTTTTATCTTGCATACATCATCCCATAATTGGCTTAGTAAATTTGCCCTACTTTTTTCGCTAAAATAACTGTTCCTGCTGTCTGTTTTCTGCCTACTGTTTGATTTATTCCAGAATTCAGGCTCAGTGCCTACTTTTAGAGCTCACTGTACAGTTTATTCTGTATGTTGTTAAACCAAGTTCCCACATAGATTTTTCTGTTATGTACTCTGTAGTGAAATCACCTTCGAAATGCACTCGTGAAAAAGCCTATGATGATACACAAGGGTACTTCAAAAAGTTTATGATCAAATGGAATTAATAGATATATTTTTGGGTCCAGCAATGTGGCACAGCAGGTTGAGGTACCGCCTGCCATGCCAACATCCCATATAAGCCCCAGTGTTAGTCCCAGCTGTCCCACTTCCCATCCTGCTCCCTGCTAATGCACCTGCCACCCACGTGGGAGACCCAGATGGAGTTCTAGGCTCCTGGCTTTGGCCTGGCGCAGTCCCAGTTATTGCAGCCGTTCGGACAGTGAACCAGCAGATAGAAGATCCATCTCTCTGTCTCCCTCTCTTTCTGACCCTGCTTTTCAAATAAATGAA